ACCATGAGTGCTTTTGGCCTATCACAAGATATAGAAACTATTTTTTTTAAAAAAAAAAAGAGTATTTGAAGCAATTAATGAAAATTATGTGTGAAAGTGGCTGATAAAGTATATTGGGAAATCAAATAAAGTTCCTTACCAAAGTCAGATATTATGGGGGGGGATACCTCAGTTCAGAGGAGAGGTACAATGGATGGATGAGAATAATTAATGGAGTGAAGAGGCAAAAGTGTGGAAGAAGGTCAAAGGAATGTGCACTTCCCAAAATTAGCTCTGTGTGAGCTCCCTGTTTTCTGTTGTTTTTTTTTTTTTCCTCTCATTATTTCTTCTACTCCTCATGATATTAAAAGCAGATATACCAACTTAAATGACCAGAGAGCAGGTTCAAGACTAAGAAAATTAAGTATATTTTTGCATGCTTAGTAACTAGTGAAACCCCTTGCACAGAGTGTTCTAGATGCTGAAAATGTGAATGGGTTCTGGAAAGAGACTCGAGGAGGGAATGTCAGTCAGGAGATATTGAACACAAAGATGAGATGGAGCCTGCAGGTCACAGCTCCCTCACGGGCTGAGACCCTGGAAGCAGAGAGGAGAACTGGTGGGAGGCAGAGTGGAAGTATTCCTCAATATTTCTCCCTAAATATCCAGGACATTTGGCCTTCCTCACTAGTCCTGTGCTTGGGTTAAGCTCTCTTCCTTTCTGAACTTAAGACAAGAAGGCAAATCCAATCCCCTTTCCTCTTTTAATCTGTTTTAATGAAATGCAGTGTGGAATAGCACAATATTTTCTTTTTTATAAAAAATAGTTCAACTCTTCAGATACTTGAAGACCTTGTTTCCTTTGGTTAGCACAGGTATGTAGGTTTACACACTGTCTACCCCAAAGAGTTGGTCATGCAAAGCAAAATAGAGCAAAGAGCTGCAATAAATAGAAGTGAGAATGAGGGGTATTTAATGTAAGGTATATATTTTATAATACTGGAACCACCATCCAAGTGAGTGCACATCTCCTGTCTGAAATACATATTTGGTTGGTTTTTCTGCCCTCTGAGTAACTATCCACTGTGCTTGGGTGCCAATCAGTGCAGAGTTTTGGCTAGGTTTACTTGAAAATGGAAAAAAAACTGAGGGAAATAGATGTGCTTTAGGCAAAGTGGTGTGTAGGTTGGCATCTCTGATGAGAGCAGGATTGAATTAACAAAACTGGCAGCTAGAAGAGGACTTCTTTTTTTTTTTTTCCTCTTTTGTGGGGCTGGCAATGAGTATGGACCCCTAGAGTGCCACTTCACTGAGTCAGTTCTCATGTCTTTAGGCAGTGAATTAATTTGCCAAGTCTAGGGGAAAACTGTGAGAGAGTTAGCAATTTCTTCATAAAAGGGAATCCTGCTAACTTTTATGTCTTTTATGTGATATGAGAGCTGTCTTATGGATACAGCTGTAGAAACTGGTGATGTATTATAGCAGCACCAGTGCTGAAACATCTCCCTGTTCCAGTCTAGGCACTTAATCATAACGTAGTATCTCCCATTGCTGTACTTACCTTCTCTTCCCACCAGTACTAACTCTCTTCTTCTAATTTAGCCAAAGCCTGACACTCAATTAGGAAGTGGAATTATGGATTTGTCAAATAAGTCTGTTAATTATCTTTTATGGACCAGTATGCTAGCACGTTTACTTTAAGTACACTAAAAGCATTTAATAGTATACTTAAATTATTCCTATAGTTTGCTAACTATGTTGTATGTTCTTAGGAGATGCAATTAGTATATAGCATTGCATCTCTCATGGAAAAGAACATAATTCCATTGTTATACCTTTTCTGTGTCAGATGCCACACTAATTACATCATTTGATAATGGCTAACTATAACAGATTATACACATCCCAATCAGATAATCTCTTTCATGAGTAAAACAGCATTATGTAATTGTTAAATGACCCAAAGGGAAACAAAATCCATGCACTGGTTAGTGTTACTTATCTTAATTATATATTTACAGCTTTATTAAATATACAAGGGTGAAATTTCCCAAAATATCTAAAGGGCTTAAGATACAGATACAATAAAAAAAATAAAACCAAAAGGAAACACTTTAGATAGAATATGGTCCCAAGGTAAATAAAACCAAACTGTATTCTAAGAGGTTCCTTACTAAGCATCTGCCTAATCCTGAAGGTCCTAAAATCTATAATTTTCTTCTTTCCTAACTTAAAACTTCCCCTTGGGTTCTACTGCTGTGCAAGCCAGAGCTCAGTGGCTGCTTTTTGGTCCCAGTGCTCCTTCTCCATAGAGTGTCTCCTGAGATGGGCTGGATGTTGAAACAGCCACTTGGACCTATTTCTTCAGTTTGGATGTACCCTCCCAAACTCTGGCTAGTGCCTTTGGATTTTGCTCACTTCTCAGATGGGCCACCACACGTGTTAGAATTTATCTGCACTCAGATGACAGATGGAGTGACAATCCATCTCCTCTCTACTTGAAATTATGACATCAGGCAGCTAGGGTGATGCAAAATCCTTATGTGCATAGCTGCTAGAAAGGTAAGTGGGATTTGTAGGTAACCTGCAGGTTGAACTTGCCTCCAAAGGACATATAAATGGCTGGAACTTGTCTTCAGTGTGAGCTGGGACTCAGACTGGACCATGAGAGTTTGGTCATGGGCAGTGTGGACAGTTGCCCATGGACAGGGAGATCTGTGATCTGGGAGCAACTTGCTCATCCTATGGTAAAAGTGATGCTGAGGTAAGACCCTACCTGGTGCCAGTCTTTAATCTGAGTGAAAAAAACCAGCTCCATTTCTAGCACTGCAAGAGTTTCCAAAGATCATTGGCCATTACTAATGATGTCACAATGTTTTATTGTAGGTTACTTATGAAGTTGCTGGTGCAATAGAAAAAAACAAAGATTCCCTTTCACAAAATCTCATTTTTGTAATGAAAAGTAAGTAAATGGTTTTGTGGTTGCTGTTGTTGTTGGAAATCAAGATATTATGACTTGATTTTCATTTTGGTTTTAAGAGAAATTTGTATGTATTGTATTTCCAATAAAAAAAAGTCACCCTCATCTTTTGGAAGTGTGTACAGATAGTTTGAAATTTGCTCTAATTTAGAAAGCTTTTGGAATTCATGAAAACAAAACATCTTCATCATGTGATGTGAGGTAGAGAATAAGAACCTATAGTGTAAAAGATAAATATGGCTTAAAAAAATCATTGATTATGAGTTAAAACAAAAATAAACCCCAGAAAATAGGAATGGGAAATAAGGCTCCAAAATCATAGAGGATCCACCCTTCTAAAAGCAGGAACTTGTGGGAACTCTGGTTGTTCAGTGAATAGATAGAAATGTTCATTGAAATCCAAAATTAAATACCTTTTCATGTGCATATTGTGTAATTACACATAATAATAATGCATCCCAGTTTACTAATTAATGATTCATAATTAGCTTATTAAAAACCTCCATCGTTTACCCATTCTGTGAAGACAAACAAAACATTTTCCTCAGGGAAATTTCAGTTTCTGAGGTGTTGTCTTTTCTCCAACCACTGCAGCATCTTTCACTTAATATATATTATATATATATTATATACTTACCCTTCTTTCAATAGAACTAGAGGTCTTTTGGAGGTCATATTTCTCTTTCAAATCAGCCCCACTGTTACAATGTGTTGGGTTTTTAGCAATTTTACTGTGAAATTAGCTAAACTCCCTAGTAACATAATGGATGCATTTTAAAGGCAAGCAGTGTACATTAAAGAGGAAGAAAGGAATGAGAAAAATTGATCTTTAATCCTATTGATTATAGTTTTAGAAGCATTCCAGTTCTCACTGCTTGGGATTTACCTGTTAAGCTTCAAAGAGTATAAGAAAGCATTTAGTTTTCTTAATCAAAACTTTAAAATATGCTAACAGTAGTCTGCATACATGTGTAAGACTGTGGAACTTACCTGTCCAATAAATAAATCAGGAGGGACCATTTTAATTTGAAGGACATAATGCCTTTCATAATGTTATTATCCATATTTTAAAAACATGAAGTTTTACTGGGTCTGCTGGTTGTGCTAAAATGACTTCAAATATCTGCTCTACTATCTTCCTTATAATTTTATTATTCCTGTTAAGTAAGAAATAGCCATCTCCACAGAGAAAAGGAAACTATTGCATCTAAGCCTCTAGTAATATACCTTTAGACAGCTAATAAAGAGCAAACTGATTTCTCCCAGCTATGCTAAGCCTAGTGACATTATTTACAGTGCTTGTCCCATTCATCTCTCTGTTTTTTTGTTTTATTTATTCACAGGATGGGTGTGATCATAATGTCACTTTGTTAGTACTTAAAAAAAGAGTAATAAAGTTAAGGCTAGTTCTGGGTGTGTCACACAACAGGTTTTTATTACTTATTGGTGCTACAGCAGTGCAAGCAGCTTGTCATTACCAGGGTCATTTTAAAAGCCCATCAATATAATCTCATAAAGGAGAATTCAACTGAAATTAGTAGCAAGTGTCATTATCTGTTTTCTGTATATCAAGATCTGTTCTTCACCTTGCCTTATTTTTTTCCCTTCCCATATGCTGGTTCATATAATTATTCTTCTTTGGTGCAGTGACTGTCTCTAATTTATTTCTGTGAAGTGCCTTCATCTTTTCCAAATACTACCTGTTAGGTAAATGTTGTGCAGAATGTTCTCTTCTATTGCTTTCATAGATGGATAAATTAGAAGTCTGTACTGGAACAAAATCCAGAGGTGATTATCACATAAGTAATTCTTTTTAGACTAATCACAATCTAAAAAGTTTTATTTTCTGCCTTATTTTGTTCAGCACAGGGCCTGGATATGTTTTAAAATAGAATCATAGAATCACAGAATCATTTAGGTTGGTCCTTAGATGTTGAATGTTCTTTGATAACCAACATAACAGTTTATTGTTTTGTCCACTTGTTTTAAGTTTACTGATTTAATTCCCTCTCCTACTCTTTTACTTCCTTATACAATATATATAATTTAATAATTTTTTTTTTATCTTCCTGCATTCATTTCTTCTTTCCTTTCCCCAGCCAGTGAAAATGTGGTTGTCAATCAGTTGTTCCAGTCCAAGCTGACCCAAACTGGATCACTTATTCCTCCATATCATTCCCTTCAAGTCAGAGGGTGTAAAGCAGCTTTGCTGAGTAAGAAGCCATCAGTAGCCTGTGCAAGTGGAGCAGCAAAGAAATACATTGAGCTCAGCAAGGTGAGAGTTTAGGACTCTTTCTGATTTGCTTTTTTTGGTCATTTTTGAAAGCTTCTTGTTCTCTGCTTCATTCTCTGTAGTCATTAAACTATTAAAATACTTTAGTACTTAATATCAACACTAAAGCAATAGTGAGAACTATACTAACATTAACAATGCTGGGTCAAGAACCTCTTTCTGGGACTCTCTGTGCAGAAGATTGGGCAAGATAATGAGGACCCTTCAAGCTTGAATGTTTCCATGATCTTGTAGCTCCAGGACTTAACAGTGGATGCAGTATTCCTGATTTTTTTGGCAGTGTAGGAAAACTTCTTTGTTTTGTCTCCTTGGCTGACTTTATGACAAATAGTTAATTAAGACATAAGAAGTGCAAAAATAAAACCTCCCTGTCTTTAATGTGTTAACCTGAGAAGATTTCTAGTTTGCAAACAATAGTTTGTGTGGTTTTGTATGAAGATCAAGACTGTACATTTTGGCAAACGTAGTTATTTGGAAGTGGTCACTTGCATGTAAATTTTCCCAATCAATTTGGGAAATTCAGTGAAATTCAGCCAAACTCTCCCCATTTCTGAACATGTCTTTTTCTGATAGCTAAGTCAGCCAAAAGAGTTAAAAAAATCCAAACAAACCAACCAAAAAAACCCAAACAACAAAAAACTACACACACCCCCCACCAAAAAAAAACAAACCAAAACAACAAATGGAAGGGAGAAACATGGGAGGCTATCAGGAAATTAATTAATTGTTCATGTAACATGCAACATCTCTCTTTTGAGGAGAAATAACATGATTTGCTGAGTCCATTCTTGACAGAGCTTTGGAATTCCTTCTAGAAAAGCAGCCAGCAGTTCTCACAATGCATCAGCTGCCTCGCCACTCTTCTTGAATCCTCCAAGTCTATTTTGGGCTTCCAGCTGCATAAAATTGATTCTGTCATGGAATTAAGGAGCCTGCTCTCATGTGTCATTGTGGAAGGCTTTGTGCAAGTACATCCAAGGAATAGCAGTGGGATTTTCCTCATACCCCCCTGCTGGTAGGAGCATAATTCCTGTCTACTGTTCTTGTCAGTAATCTCAGTGGAAAAAGTGAAGTTGCAGGGAATGGTGTTGGTTTAAGGCTATATTTAGCAGACAGCTGAGGCATTACAAGGTGCCTTTAGGTGGCTTTCCACTATAGGAACAGCTTCCTAGAGGAAGCTTTCTAATGCTGTGAAAAAGATCCTGGTCCCATACATGGAAAGAAGTATGGAAAGCATGTCTGAGTTAGAAGCCTGATCAAGCCAGGGGGAAACTCCACACAGCGAGGAGCTCTGAAGCTGTCAAGTTTTTACTGGTCCAGGAGAGTTCTTGACCTGGAGTTACTCTCTTGAGAGCTAGAAGACCTATTCAAATTCCTTTTGAAAGCATGATAAATTAAGCCATAAATTCAATGTTCTGTGAGAATGCTCTAAATTTTTAGGTAGTAGGTGGAAGGGGAGGAGAAATTCATCTTTGGCTTCTCAACAGTGGGCTTTGAGAAGAGCTGTGCAGGTCAGACAGAACACCAATTAGTTTGTAGATACTAAGTTAGCCTAATTTGAGCAAGGTACCGTGCAGAATGGAAGCAGAAATTTAGGTATCTAAGCTGTTCCAGTGGCAGAGACACTTGGTTTGGAACAGGCACCTGGTGCAGGAGCTGCAAGTAGGTAAGTGCTGAAATTTTTTGTGGCTCAAGCCCACGTCTACAACTGTGCTGTCCTGATTTCTTCCCTTTTCCAGTAGAGCCTGGAAAATCCACTGTGATGGGTGGAATAATGTTGGGTTTGTTGTTTTGTTGTTGTAACTGGAAATGGAATGTAAGGGGCACTTTCTGATCAGCTTGGAATTAATATAAATACATGCTGGAAAATTGTAACCACTGCATTTTTATTGGAGTTTGTCCTGAAGGTAAAGGCAATAGAAGAAATAAAGAAAGGGGAAGGGGAAGAAAAAGGGATGTCAAGGCAAGAATAATCAACCAGAGACTGGCATTCCTTTTGTATCTGAAATGGGAGTTGGAACATACATCCTGTGTAGAAAGTGAGACATGAAAAATGGAAGGTATTCATGTTGCTGTGTATGGGCAGTTGTCAAGAGTCCACCATACCCAGGGAAGAGAAATAGACACTGTCAGAGGTCAGAGAGGAGTTTGTGGTGATTCCCCTCCCCTTTCAGAGTTGAAGAGAACAGTGCATCCATCCTAAGATGGACAGGAGCAGATCTAATAGCTCCAGAATTTTTGAACACATAAGGAGTTAGAGGAATTTGGGAACCCGAGCTCGACTCTTTTATTCCCATCAGTTCTTGTTTCCTTGGTTTTTTCTGTAGTTTTCCTAATGCATACTTTGGCCCTGTTGTGTTTTCCTCACTTATTTTGGAAGAAGGGTGGAAAAGATTTTGGTGTCTTCTGGTTAAAGCTTTAAAATATTCTGCTGATCAAGAAACTTTTTTTTTAGGAGGAGGTTTCAGCTTCTTAACAGGTATTACAAACTTACATATATGTGGGTTTTTTCCCTGTAAATTCAAGGTACAATATTTTCTTTGTAATACAGAAGTACAGCTCCAGTGATGTACTCTTGTTCCTTAGCCCATAGCTGAAGATGTCCAAAGTTAGAGAGTTTGGGTAAAATTCCTTTTTGTTGTTTTAATTCATTTTTTGTCTTTGCCTTGTTTCCTTTCTTTTCTCTCCCTCATTCTGAACCAAACACTTCTTTCCCATGGGAAGAAGTATGAAAGAGGAGAGCAGGCAGGAACTTTAGCATCCAAAGTGTTATTCCACTAATTCAGGCAATGGTCCTGAACTAGTGACTGAGTCTGTTGGGAGGAAGGGGTGAGTGCCTTGCTTGTCCAGTGAAGAAAACTCTCATTTCAGTTATATTCCTCAATCATTTTGTAGACTGTAACTGGGAAGGGTCATTGGCATGCTGGTGGTTCTTTTTATGACAAGACCTGGAGCAAGCAGATCTCTTACTTTTCGGTTTTGAAGTTGTGTAGGAATTTGCCTTTAAAATCTTATTGCATCCTAGTAAGTGAGATTTGAAATAAAAAAAAAGAGCTTCAAGGTGCAGCTTTGTGAGTAGAGAATTGCTTGCACAGCAATAATTTTAACAGAGTTTGGCTTGAGTGGGTCAAGCTGAGGAACTACACAATTTTTGATGCAACTGGAAAAAGGAGTAGCCCAGAACATGCTGACTTGATAGAAACAGAGTTTTATGGGGTGAGTGGACGGGAGAAAGTCAAAGGTGAAAAAGCTGTAACTGATAGAGGGTTGAATCTAAGTCGCTTGGCCAAACCCTGGAATGGAGTCATTTTGCCAGCCTGCCTGTAGAAAGTTGAACAAACCCTCCCTGATTCCTGGAACCACTTTTAGAAAGGTTATTACCATTTCACTTTCAAAGATAGGAAGTAGAACAGTAAAAAAATAAATTGGGTCTCCATTCCCCATGCTGATGTAGGGGATAACATTGGTTCTAATGAGATATGAAGTTGTTAACAATTTATATATATCTATAATGGGTGAAAATGGTTAAAAAAAAAAAAGAAAAAAAGTTTAGCTCCATTCACACGTGCAGGAATCAAAGAGAAGGGTTTTTAAAATATTAATGTTACTGTTTTGCCTTCAAGGTTTTCCTAATGATCTCTGCTTACATTTGCTCATTTCAGCATCTGCCAAAGACATATGAAATCTTTTCAGAGAGTTACAGAAATGGAATTAATGGAATACTGACTGGATAGGTTCTGCCTCTGCAACAGAGTTCTAGATCCTATTTCTTTGCTTGCTTATTTTGAAGAGGTATTTTATCTTTCCAATGCCATTCAGCTGCTTTTGAATGAAAACTTTCTTGCCAGTCAAGGCTCTGCAGCTACTTGAGAATATTTCTCCACCTTCCCAGTTGTTCTGCAGCTCTGATCACTGTCTGTGACAATGTTTGCCTTTCTTAGTAAATGGTGTAACAATGAAAATGAAGTTTTACTACACATCTTGATATGAAGTTCTTCTGTGTGTGCTTTTCTCCCCCACAGCTCTTGAAAAAGAAAGGAACATCCTCATTTCTGCAGAGACTGGAACGAGGGGGCCCAACCACTGTGGCAATACAGCTCAGGGTTAGTGAACATCTTCTGGACAGAACTTTCCAAAGAAACACCCAACCCAACCTAAACCAAACATTTTAATCTGTAAGACTAGTCCCTGCAGATTGCAATGGAAAAAGGAAAAATCTTATGCTTGAGACCCCCCCTTGCATGGCCAGGTCAAGCCTTTTGAGGCAATGATGTCAAAGAGTTGGGAAGAACATAGATGTTGAGCAGTTGCCTTTGCTGTGTAATGATGGATAACTGCTTTTTGGGTTGTTTTGGCTTTTGTTTTCCCACAGAAATCACTCACAGATATCCTTGGGAAGCTGCAGAACTGCACACCACATTCTGTTCATTGTATAAAGCCTAATAACTCCAAGTTGCCAGATAGTTTTGACAATTTTTATGTGTCAGCTCAGCTGCAGTACATTGGTGTCCTGGACATGGTCAAAATCATCCGCCATGGATATCCAGTCCGTCTCTCTTTCACAGACTTCTTGTCAAGGTAAATTCTTTGGAGTGTCATAAGAACTTTTTTCTACCTGTGGTACAAAGCTTTGTCATGTTCTGGTATTGCTTGTGCTGTTGTTTTCCTCATCAGCCTTTCAGACTTTCATCAGAAAAAAGAATCATGTATCCCAGCAAGGGATGTAGGCTTGTTATTTTTTAACTGAAGGAATTATGAATCTTGTGGAAATCCATTTATAAAGAACATCAGCAAAGTGTATTAAGTTTAAAAAATGCAACTTCTTAAAATAATCCTTTTTTTTTTTAATTTAGGCTATTGACATTATTTATAAAATACAAAATCTTGCATGTTGTCTCCAGGTAATTAAAAAGGAGAAAGAGAAATAGTCTAATTTTAAGTTTATCACTGTAGGTGCCATGAATTCAGTATTTGTATTTCATAACCTAGGATTTGTTTCTGCATGGTGATGAGTTATTAATGCTCATACTACAACTCAGTTTTTATTAGAAATGAGTGAAATTTTGAATGAATGTGGAAAGACAAAAGGACGCGTGGCACTGCTTCTGGCTGAAGGCAAATTCCTTTCACCCATCCCCAGCTCAGTTTTGGGATTTTGGCTCACTTACATTCTCAAGTGCTTCACCACTTGGTCCAAGGGATGTTTGTTTAGCAGCCTCAAGCACTTAACACGTGTTGCTCCTTTCTGCATGTTCTGCTCCATGAGGGACTGGTGGAGCACTCAGCTTCTGGTCTATTCTCTTCTGAAAAACACCTTGGGGATATCAGGTGCTCACACACAGCTAAACTTCAAGTCATCTTCTTGAAAAAGTTGTGGATGTTAAAGTACTGCTTGGAAAGGATTATGTTGTCTCTGGCAGTTCTGTACATCTACAGAAAGGGCAGGAGTAGAGGAGTTTGTAATCCCACGTGTTTCATAAGTCAGCCACCTCTGTCCTACCACAGTGTTTGTCCTGCAGCATGAATCCAGACGTGCAGACTGGTTGAGAAGGTGCAGAGAATGGGAGATCTGGAAAAGCAGGCTGCTTTCATCTTCAGAACTGCTAGAGGCAATCTCTGTATAGCCATTGCTATGTTGCTGAACTGAGCACTTCAAGGGACTCTTACAGCAGCACAAAACCACAATCTTTTCTCTCCTTCTCCTCCTCCTCCTCCTCCTCCTCCTTCTCCTTCTCCTTCCCCTCTTCCTCCTTCTCCTCCTTTTCTTCCTCCTCCTTCTCCTTCTCCTCCTCCTCTTCCTACCTTCTTCTCCTCCTCCTCTTCCTTCTCCTCCTTCCCCTTCCCCTCTTCTTTTTGAATGAGTGTACTTATTTAATATTACACTGCTTATACTGGGAGGGGCAGAAAAATCAGGAAACAAAACCCAGGGAAAGATGAAGGAATTATATTTTATTCACTGTAGGAAGGTGTAAGCAAGTGAGTGCTCTTAGCCTGTGCTCTTACTGGGATGAGAATGTTAAACTTTCCCATGGCTTGCCCAAAACAGCAAAGGAATTGCTTCCCATTAACCTGGGGAGAAAGACCTTAACAGCTGACAACAGGAAAACACAGAGGGAGAAATGAAAAATAGACAGTTTCCATTTCTTAATGAGAGTAATAACATTTGCCTGTACCTTAATTTTTTCTTGAATGTTTTTTTGTAAGAAATGGAAATATAAGTAATTTTTTCTTTATTCTGTCTTGCTCTGCTTTGTCCTTGTGTGTAAATACAAGCTGTGTGGTTCACAGCCTGGCTTAGCATAGCTGCAAAGTGATCTACAGGAGTGCTGCAGGGAAATCCCAATTTTCCACACTGATTGTACTGTGTGGATCTCCTGGGCTTACCTGGCTGGAGAAGTAAAGGGTATTAATGGTGTGTTTGAAAGCACTGTGCCAAATCCAAGGGAGTTTGTGGCCCAGATCCCAACTTGAACTCCCAAAAGACAGTGAATTGCTACTTCCCACCCTTCTCCACCCTCCCTGCAGTTTTCATACATTTACTTTTAGAGTCTTCCTTATCATGTAATGTGGTCAGAGTTTAAAAGAATAATTAATGAAAAAATTAAAAGCCTTTTTTTGGTTAACGGGTAATGCAGAGACAGAATAGTTTAATTAAGGTCCTTTGTTGTGCAGGGGTAGAATATCAGAAAACCTGGATGTCCTATCAGTAATACAGACAGCACTAGTGCTTTCTTAATTTGAATAAATTTCTATTAATCTATAATTAGGCACTAATATGATTATCTCTATCATATACTTAAGAATCACATTTGAACTCTTATGACAGCTAAAGACAGCAGCTAAGGAAAGGTCAGATTTTGCAAGAGCACTTCCTGCACTCCAAAATTTAATCATTATTTCTATCCCTGTCCATGGGTTCTGCTTCTGTATTCTCAAAGCAGAAGCTGACAGCTGCTGGGTGAACCCCTCAGTCACCAAAGTTTCTTGATCAGAAGAGAAATCTTGTGGAAGTTCTGGTTCTGAAGTGGAAGCTGTGACAGCTGCTGTCAATGAACATAGAATAAAAATGGGAATTAATAAGGTCAGATGCTATTAAATGCTATAAAAACAGGCAGCACTGATATAATTATGAAATGATCTATGTGATTTCAGTGGAACTGCCAACTCCAGCTGCAGTGTTTCTGCTGGATTTCCCTGCAGTGTTGGCTCAATTTCTGAAACTCTTTGAGTAGAGAGACTAAAATCAGTTTTTACCTTATCTTTAAAATAAAGAGCTTAGCAACATGTAGTTTAGACTTCTGGAAAAGTTGCCCATTTATTTTACATTAGTATTTCTCAGAATCACTCTCAGTGGATTTAGATTTTGAAATTCTAGCTGTGCTTTTAACAGTGGCACAAATAATGCTGTGAAGAGCTCAAGTTCCCAACATGCAGCCCAAATTGTACACACAGGTAAAGTAACCTCAAATATCCTTCTCCTGCAAGAAAGAAAACAATAAAATAACCATGGAATCAGGAACTGTTTGCAGGTGGTTGTTTCCTTCCAGGATATAGCATTTTGATATCTTAATTAAAATGAGGATGATTCCACCCAAAGATACACAGAGAGCACTTTAGCAGCAAGATGGTGATTTATGATGGTTTTGGAATTTGGTGCAATGGCAAAAATGTGGGAATCAGTGTGCACTCTATCACCACTGTAGAAAAACAGGGCTCAGAAACTCTCTGGGGCACAGACAGAGCCTGGTTGTAGAGTTTTAATATCAAGAACCTAATCTCTTTGCATCAATTAATAAAATGGATCCTGGCTGACTTCTGTGTCATTCACCTCACTTGGTGCTCAGAGAAGACATGTAAAAGCCATTTGGAATATAAATTTTTAAAAATAATGATAGTGATCAAGGACCCCTCTAGAGTAATGAGCTGAGCTTCTATTTCTTGCTCAGTGAAGTACAAGAATTGAGCTGCTCAGGCAGAAATGAGGCAGTAAGATCTTCTCTTTCCCAATTTCCCTCATTCTGAACCATTTTATTTCAGTTTTATGCTCCTCTATAAACACTCCTCTGCCATTAGTGTTTTCTAAGTTGGATTAGAGATTAAAGCTATTTTTTGCTCTCTTCCTTCTTCAATGGGGTTCACCAAGCTGCTGAATTGTCCCCAGGTCCTCAACTAGGACATCTGTGTTGGCCTTTTTTGTGGCAGACTTCAGGGCTGTTGGACCTCAGGTTAACCTCTGTGGCTCATGTGAGCTGATGAGCAATCTGAGCCTTTCACTTAGCAGATGAGAACTGCTGGATTTCTAAGAGGAAAAAACCCTGTTTTTCAGAAAGCCCAAATAATTGTCTGCTACTGTGTTATTCCTTGTCTTTACTTCTGCACTTTTGGAGTGTTTCTTGGAATTTTATTGCTGTCTCTCTGGTTTCCAGACTCTCTTTTCTGGGTTTAACTCTTTCAACTCAGTCTTGTGTTTTCCATCCTGGAGCTCTTGTCCTGCCTTCTGTTGCTGCTGAAGGAACAGCAAAGTTCCCTGTGAAGCAGGGAGCAAAGAACTTTGTGCAGCAAATTCTCTGTGAAGGAGAACATGAAGGTTTTATTCAGAGACATCTCTTACAGCATTGTTTCAGGAAGAGATAAGTCACTGGAATATTAGGATTTAACATTTCAAATTCTCTTTGAAAATGTCTTAAATTGCATCAGTCTTATCTTTAGTTTTACTCTGCACATGCAGACATGCAGCTTAGATTAGAAGTAGCTGGTTTTGCTAATTGGTAGGACAGTGCCAAGTGCAGTTTGGAGGTACAGTATCAGACCTTTTCCTTTTTCCTTTTTCCTTTTTCCTTTTTCCTTTTTCCTTTTTCCTTTTTCCTTTTTCCTTTTTCCTTTTTCCTTCTCCTTCCCCTCCTCCTCCTCCTTCTTTTCTTCTTTTCCTCCTCTCTTCTTCTTCTTCTCCCTCTTCCTCTTCCCCTTCTTCCCCTCTTCTTCTCCTTCTTCTCCCTCCTTTTCATTGGCTAATCGTTTTCTCCTACGTGAACAGAATATGTTCAAATATCTAAATTACAATATGTAAGCTGTATGGAGTCAATTAAAAATAAAGAAAAGCTTTAATGTTTTGAAAGTAGAATGTTAAAAGAGTTGACATACTGATGATTTTTTTGCTTTAAAGTAACTTAAAAAGATGGCAAAACATCCATTTTAATAGAAAATATTAGGAAGGAAGAGATGGAATACAATGAGAATGGATTCTTATGGTAATCACAGCAATGAGGGTGAAACAAATGTGTAAAGCCTGTTCTAATTACACGTTTCTCTCTGATTTCAGTATGTTCTTTTCAGATGAAATTATTCTTACAAGCTACACTTAAGTGCAGATCCTGAAAGGTGCAGTTCTGCTCAGGGCAGTGTTCATTGATACTAAAATGCTCCAACAGTAGACTTTAGATCTAAAATGGCTTCAGAAAATTTGTTACTAACTCATCCAGACAGTTGGCTTTGCTTCTGGAAAGATACCTTTTCCTCAGGAAAGTTTATCTTCATGTTAGTATCATTGCTTTGTCAGATAATCTCTGTCCTTCTGCAGC